AACTTTCCACAATAAAAAAAGTCAAACACGTAGTAATCTGTTGTTCATACACTCGCGTAAAGTAAAGATTGTCTCGCCAAAGAATTTTGAAACATCAGTGACTGAAAAATAATAATTCACAAAAGTTTGTTTATGAATTACAGTCTAATTTCTACAAATGGACTATTTCCAGTAACAAATAAAAATGTAAAACTAAAATTAAAGGTTGAAATTGATGAAATTTTTGCAGTGAAGTATTAATAATTTACGTATATAACGCAAGAATGTTGTTTTTTTTTTTTTTTTTTTTTTTTTTTTTTCAATTTAAATGATAACATTCATAGTCATTCAACTAAGGAAGGACAACGATCTGAAGGAGCATGGGGTATTATTATTCTGACGGTTATCGTCTACGCCACGTCATACACTCATTGAGTAAATAACATGGAAATCGGAATGGGAACAGGAAGTCGCATCAAATGCCAAGAGCTTGTTTGTCCTTGACATTACAAATTTTATTTAAAAAAAATTACAGTTAATTTTAGATAGAATTTCAAGAACTTATGATCACACCATCTGATGATTATATACGGATAGTTTGCCATCCAGTGCAATGCTGGAATTGGGTACCCTGTATTAGCCCATTACTAGCAGTGGAACGATGTGGGCTTATATGATGTTGGCAGAATCAAAGGATTCGTTGATAAAGACAGATATAATATCTGGTTACATGCGAATACTACACATTGTTAGATAGATATAGATAGATACTTAATTTAAGAATGTTATTGCGGTTAATTATGTTATTAATTCTTAGTTATTTAACCTCTGTTTGTCGTAAAGAATTACAAACAAACATAAAACAGTTACATTGTCTTGTATAGCTTATCATTTTACTAATTAACCAAACTAAAAAGGGTTTTGGCCTAACCTAAACCAATCAATCAAACCAAACAATCTAGTATAGAGCAAAACCCTTCGGCAGAGCTTTTTGCCTATGGAAATTTTATTTATCATCTAATAAACACTCTTTTGAATATATATCTTATAAATCGATAAAACAAAGAAAATATGCTTCGACCCATGCAAGGGTTTTCCTCGATCATAACATATTTATTACGTTTTGATTACACATTTCCTTCCTTTTTGTAATTTGTAATACCTATTACAGAATGGAACTCTAGTTGAGTTACTGTCTTTTTGTATTGCTTATTAAGATGATTTATAAACACCCTCTTAACATTAAAGTGCAGAAATCTGAAAATTCCTCTACAAAAAGTATGTTGTGTACGCGTGCGTGCGTGCGTGCGTGTGGAAACACATAAACCTAAAATAGACCTTGTGTCAAGCTGAAACCTTTTTTAGGGATTCCGACATCTATTCGTAACATGGACACAACGAGCGTAACGCAATAAATTAGGAATGAATTTTTTTCGGTCTTTTGTTACACGAATACAAGCAGACAGTTGAAACAGTTAAAGAATTATTCAAAACATAATACTATACGTATAATGTAAGCGTTTGTTTCATTCTACAATATTATATCAAATCTTATTGAGCTTATGATTAACTAGCTAATAAACGCGGTTTCGCCCGTGCCGTCAAAGGGAATTAACAATCCTACTTACTTAACACTTATCGTTATATTTTGGACAATTCACGTAAAATCTTTATTAATTATAGCCTGTATTAGCTATATTATATGGTAAAGTTTCGTTAAAATCCATTCAGTAGTTTTTGCATGAAAGAGTAACAGACCTCCATCCATACATACAAACTTTCGCATTTATAATATTAGTAAGGACGTATCGTATTGCAAATGTTTACGAATTCTTTTGATGAAGATTAATACAATAAATTAAACACATGTCAAGAATTCGGGCCCAGTATGTTAAGGTCAGACGATTTAAGGAAAGAACGTATGGGCGTTCTTTAAAGTTCATAAACCTTGACACGCAATTAAACAAAAGTAAATTTTCCACGGCACCGTTGATGTAAGGACTGAAGGTAAAGTTATAAGGAATAAGGTAAATTCACACAAAACACACTTATAAAGTAAGTCTATACAGCGTGTCGTTACCATCGCGACAATAAATGAACACACGTCTAACGCTACTTGCCAATAATCATAAAAAAATATTAACGTTAAACAAAATCCACAATAAAAAAAAATATTTTTCAAACAAACTAATTAAGTAAAAAAGAAACAAAATTTGTTCCTTTGTACACAATGGTTATTAGGGCATAGTCCATCACGCATCCCTACTGTAAACTGGCAGACTTCACATACCTTTAAAATATATATCCATTTTCCTATTATTTCGAACATATCCATGATTTCTCAACGAAAATTTAATGTTTATATTAAAGCTTATGTTGCCCGCTATTGGCGGAAAATAAACAAAAATCTTTCACAAAGACACTTCCGTTTAAAAATCCTTGACATAAAATATGTGTATCATAATTTGTTTAAATGAAAGAAAGTAATTGTTCACGGTACTGTACGAAAATCACTATACAGGTTGACTTTTTTAAGTGTATCCATTTCTTTTTAAATTTAATTCTAGACATAAATAATGTTCTATCAAAAATGATAAATATTTAAAATCACTCGTAAGTAATTGATTACATTCATTTGAACTTATCTCAAAAAGTGAGTGATTTATACGCAACTCATTTATTTTACGCGCGATCATTCATAACTAACACGCACCCAAGTTCGTGCACAGTAAGATTTAGGTATTTATGAATGACTACCGCATTGTCAACACGTTCTGTTTTTTAGGGAATCGAATGGCGTTTTTTTGGAAAAAAAAACTATATATAATAAACGAATATACTACCGAGTCTGAACCTCCTGTGTAAATTTGGGCACCTTTAAAAAAATCTCCCTGTAAACTATGTCGTCCCGCTTTCTGTTTGTCCCTATGTACGATTAGACCTTTAAAACTACGCAACGGATCTTGATGCGGTTTTTTTAACTACATAGAGTGAATATAACATAACACAAACCGGAATATAACAAAGGTGAAGTCATGGATGGAAACAGAATTGAGTCTTCGCGAAAATATTATTGTATCAAACTTGCAAAAGTTTGCAATGTATTGTACATATAAACGTTCCTCTTGAATCACAGCACAGAATAGAAGAGAGCGATTTAAATCCGGGAGGCCTTTAAATCGCTCTCTTCTATTCTGTGCCGGGAGTGGGAAGAAACAGATTTATTACTCAAGTACATATACACATTACATGCGCACATACTAAATGGAGATATTTTTAAAAATAGTAAATACAAATATAATTTTAAAAAACGTTGAACGCTTTGAACTTCTGTAAATTAAGAAGAAAATCTTATAAATTATCATGTGAGTAACGACATTCAGCAAAATCTAATAGAACAGAATCTGATTTTGATTCTCCGTATTCGATATTATCGCAATTGACTTGACTGAGAATTACATTTTATCGAGTTAGAAATAATAAATAGAACGAAGCGGAGGCACGCGCGCTGCTTCCATCCAGCGTACATATATCTCCGTTGGTGTATTTACACGTAATTATTATCGAGCCTGGCGCGCCATATTATCGGCGCCCGGCCCGAACACAAAGGTCCAAATTGGTACACATGTATGCAGTCCGCCGATTATGTTTAACAACATCTAGTTGAGTAGTTTACAATTTTAATTACACGACGTTTGCTGTATTCCACCGGACGTTAGTAATAAAACACGATAATAATCACCGTTGTATGCTAATAACGCAGGGAGGACAAATGATATCGTAATATATTTTTCCGCTTTTTAGGATATGGGGGAGATGTAACAAACCGATTAAATTCTGTGAGACGAGATTATCATGAGATGCGATGATCTCAGATGTCATCGTAAATCGTCTAATTATAAAATACAGGAACCTTAACACTATAGCCGTTGTTATACATATAAACCTTCCTCTTGAATCACTCTATCTAATAAAAAACCGTATCAAGGTCCGTTGCGCAGATTTAAAGATCTAAGCATACATAAGGACAGACAGACAGCGGGACGACTTTGTTTTATACTATGTAGTGATGACATAGCGAATATTCGCGTAATATTACTGCAAACGTAATCATGTTTTAATGTACTTTAAACAATAAAAATGAATATTTACACAAAAAATATTTAAATTTTAAATTTTAACTCAGAATCGCAGAACGTCGTAAAGTAACGAAGTATGGGCTGAAGTCATAACGGAACGCTGGAATTAAATGCAAAGTAGTAATTTGACTCTGCGAATAATTTAAACGACTGAACCGCGTAGGATGAAGTCGTAGGAGTGGAGTACATTTTAATTTTAAACGTTTACATATAAAATGTAAATACAGAAGTTGATAGCATACAGAATTAATAAGTCGTTAGTTGTACAAACCCTTGTAAAGATTTTGTAAACAGATCGTTTATATCCTACTTTTGATAGTTTTTATCATGCACGTTTTCAATTTTAATTTAATGACTCGGTGGCGTCTTTGCTAAGCTATTGGCTTCAGCGTCGCGAGTCGTGGGTTCGATTAACACACGGTATAAGTATTTGTGTGATCCACAGATGATTGTTCCCAGATCAGGGTGTTTGTTTCACAAGGAGGGATGACGTCAGACAGGCGGCCGGTCATAAAAACATAGCCAAAACCACTTACAAAATGACTCACAACCAATTGATTTTAGGCGAATATTATACATATTTTTTAAAATGTAAGACACATTTTTACACAACATTCTCTAGTCCCAAACTAAGCAACGCTTGTATTATGGGTAATAGACTTAAACATACTTTTCTTTTGTAAATAAATACATATTATACATATATAAACACCCAGACACTAGAAAAACACTATGTTCATCGCTCAATATTTTCCAGTAGTGGGGATCGAACCCACACCCTATGAGGCAGGAGGCAGGTACACTACCCACTATTCCATTCGGGTCTGAGCAATAAGATCTGTAAACTAGTTTCACTTAATAATACTAGGATTCTCAACTCACCAGCTCAAAAATGAGCTCCTTCTCGTCGAGCTGTCGAAGCTCGTGCCTCGACCGCCGCTGAGGCCTTGAGGGGGTTGCGTGCGGGGGCTGGTCACCGAGGAAGGTGGGCGTACCGTCCACGGTGGTCACCAGCGGCTTCAGCAGTCCGCCACGCTCGAACTCGTGCGCCGAAATCTTCCTGTCAAAAGCAACGATCTCTATTATGTATTTTATTAAACACCATAATTAACTCGTGGCTGACATGTGGGACTAGAAATCCGAAGTCGTTATATTCTTTGGTTGTAGGTTTCAAGTTTCTTGATGCATCACTGTTTCATAATTTAGCCAAGTGTACAGAGCAGATCAAGCTCAGGACAAAATAAGAATAATGAAAAAAAAAAAGCTCTTTGTCTCTGTCATGTCGTTTGGAGCAAATTAGATTAATGAAGATATTGTCGTAGTCTTTGTTTCGGTCAACATTAAATCTGTTAAAAGTTATTTATTCTGTTAACACATTAGAACTTACAACAGTTTACCCGGTTGTAATTATTTAGAAGACATTGATATATTAAGATTTACTAATGGAAACTTTCAAACCTCTTAACGCGAGCTCATTATCTATATATTATATATAATCGGAATCTCGGAAACGGCTACAGCGATTTTCATGAAATTTAGTATGTGCATAGAATCGGGGGCGAAAAATCGATCTAGCTAGGTTTCATTTTTAGAAAATGTCCTTTAATCCCTGTTTTCAGGGAATGAAAAATATAATTCGAATATGAAGGTAAATTTCGCCGCAAGAGAAAATGTCATAATAGCCCCAAAACAGACGGCCGTGGTTCGCGTCACGATCATTTACACATTTATTTTTTTTACTTTTTTTTCGATTCCAGATCATTGCTTTCTTTATTTTTAATTTTTTGTCGATTTGTTATTTTGTTATTTGTTTCCCTTTTTTTTAAAGTTCTTTCTTTTGTGAAAAACATCAGTTCATATTTTCTTATTATTACGTCGGTAAGATCGAAAAATATTATGCATATTTCATTACGCAGTAATTTGTATCTAAATGTAATTTCCAAAATACACGATTTACCAAAAAAAAAAAACAAACCGAGCAAAGCTCGGTCCTCCGGGTACTGAATATATTAATACAAAATGTGTTATACATATTTTTTATATTAAAAATAACACATTACATTTATACATTACATTAGTATTTGAAACGAAGATCATAGAATTATTAATGCATACTTGAATGAAATAAGAAATTTAACAAACATTAAACCATTAAGATGCACGAGGTTGGATTTAAAATGAAAGCTTTTTTTTTGTCAAATTTAATCTTTTGTGAAAAATGCATACTACGCTTGGGAACATCTGGCAGGAATGATTCTCATAAAAGCATGGCTAGAAATAAAAAAAAAACAAGGCGCTCAAAGATGCGACGAGCTAAGGCAAAAGTCCCCGTAATCCAACGTCAAAGTAGAACCAAGGGCATTGGAAACAATAGGGTTTGCAACTAATATTCGATACTTATACGGTAATTAACCATAAAGTTAAAATACAATTTCACAATTATTATTACATGCACGTAAACATTATTCACGTTGGTGTCAATCGTATTACATATGCTTATAAATAGGTATATCCTGGATATAATATATATGTATATATTTATATTTCGATATATTTTAGGGATCAGAAGTTATTACCATTTTGATTCCGTAAGTAAATCCCGAAGCTAGTGTAACTAACATTTACTTTTTTTTTTTGCATAAATTAGGAATTTGTTTTGATGTAGTAAATAAATTCGCCATCAAATAGCTTGATACGAAAAATATACCTTTTTCCTCGCTCATAAAAACATGAACAGTGCACGGAGCCGCCCGTTGCACATTGCACAATGACGTCGCTTAACGGTGCACTGTGGACAATTTTCCAAGTCGAAGGCACGGTCGTCAAAGCCACTTAACACAAAATTGCTCGTTCTTTCGAAAGGGCACTTTTAGTAAGGTACCAAGCGATGTTTGAAATCATATTCGAGAAATATTTTGTATATTTCGACAGCCCTTAATGTTCTATTGGAGGGTGACAGAAGATTGATGAAGGTTACCCGGCAGCGGGTTACGGCGGCGAAGATAAGGCGTATTATTGAAGCTCGAATAATGCGGAGGTAATATATGCGCTTGCATAATTCGCTCCTGGACACGTCTTTTGCGTGGAGCATCATTTATAAAGATTATTTCCTTTACAGGGAATGCGATTTATTTTTATACTAGCGACCCGCCCCGGCCTCGAAGGGTGCAATGTGTTATACATATAAACCTTCCTCTTGAATCACTCTATATAGGAAAAAAGCACATCAAAATCCGATGCGTAGTTTTAAAGATCTAAGAATACATAGGGCGGACAGCGGGACGACTTTGTTTAGTGATGTAGTGATGATTTATCAATGCCATATTACGGAAAAGTTTTTCAACTCATAACATTAAATAATAGATTTCTTTACATTGATACCCAGATATTTACTTTTTATTAGCATTATATTTCAAATAAATTACATGCGCTTCGTAACCTTTTCTAGTTTTTCTTTTTTAATTTCGTTTCGTTCCTTGCTTCTACATTTCGCAGTATTAAGGACAAAACTTTATAGCCATGTATTGGCAGAATTTATCCTCTACCTTTCAATGAAATGGATTAAAATCTTATAAACCAGCGTTTGTAGCCGTGTTTATGTAGTTGAAACCAATTGAACGGTGGCCTCGAACAAGCAATGTCACTGTCACGGGCCAATAAATCATGCGAATGTCAAAAAGGAGCACGCGCCAATTGCACCCCGTAGGCAAATTACTCGTTGAATTTTCAACAAAGGCGGCCGTTATTGTCGAATGGGTTAAATTCGAGGATATCGTCGACTAATCGATTACCTATTTCGATGCGGATACAACAGATGTGTATATATACAAAATTGATATAATTAACCTAATGCAACTGTTTCGGCTGAATTTGTGGTCTTGTGGACAAATTCCTCATTCGGAGATTCGAATTGAGCGAGAAGAGCAAACGAACATTCCCGTTCGCTACACGTCCATCGCCGTATTCATCCGTTGAACGGTGGCGGCGTAACATCTCTTGCAACTAGTTTCGATTTTACTAATTATTGTCCGGACATTTGATTCCGTGTGCTTGAAAGTTATTTGCGGTGGTCCCAGTAATAAAGCAGTGCAGCTGTGGAACGAACGATGGCGACTCTTCAAAGACGGTTGAAGATGAATGGTCTTTGTTCCACTAGACTATTCGAGAAGCAGACGATAAACCAGACCAGCTCCGCTGTCTATCGAAGGTCACCCAAACAGCATAATTAAACAAGCTTCATAGTGGCTCAGTGTCTAAGGATCCACCTGCCGGTGATGAAGTAGGGAATAAATACAGAAACAACATAGTCGTTATTAAAAAACAACGTCACAGACATGTTCAACACAACAGCGTCAAAAACGCTCTGGATATATGGAGTCTGGATAAATGAGAGACAATAATGGATTATATAGTCCCTGGTTGGATCGGATCACGTAATTTTCTGCCACGCACTTAAAAACAAAATCGAACGAGTTAATAAACAAGTGTTATTAATTTATTTTATGAAATGTACCTGACTATCTGACTCGGGACCTAGGGGCAAGGAACCTTTTCCTACAGTTTTTACCAAAATTCCGCATTGCCTGATGTTATGGGTTAATGAACAGTGTTCTGCCAGTTCTTTTGCTGCTGCCCTTGTCGTTAATAGCGAGTAATTTGATGAGGAGCTCAGAGATTCACAACGATTTTTTGTAATTAAAATTTAAGATTAAAAATTATACTGATGCCGGCACCGGGGATCTAACTCAGGTTGCTTTAGTATATTAAATTAAAGCCCGCCCGGAAAATTGGCTATCATTGCTATTATGATGTAATCATAGAAATATAAAACCGATAGTTTGTTATGAAAAAAACCTTATCGAAGAAAATTTCCCCATATCAGAAATGAAGATGATATTATTATTTTCAAGACCAAGTCTCGTCTCGACTTCCCTTAAATAAATAGGACAGTGGCCACTGCCAACCAATTGGGGAAGTGGAAAATGAACATGTCTCTTGCGTCAAAGAACGTTGGTTTAATTTTGTCTACTGCAAAAATATTGTGTGATGAACTCAGTATTTTTCTCTTTATATATCTATAGATAATTATTACAAAAGAATAGTAGGTTTATGTATGTATGTTTATCAGTTACCTATCACTGCTCAGACCGCTTCATTTGTACATGATAACTTTTGGTGTCTATTATTTCCTAAATTATTATATTTTTATTAGATATCATGCTAGGTAGTTCAATTAAATTTTACAACACCTGTATGATCTCTACATATGCAACGGATCTAACTGAGGCTTTTCGTAATTGGCAATTACTTAAGTTTTAAGAGTTTGTGCAGTGGGCTATTTTCGTACAAAATACATGAGAAAAGCGTAAAGCGTTAATTACACGACACACAGTTTAGAAGTTTTTAACATTTAAGACACTTATAAGACTTTAGCACGGTACAAATTAAGGTCGAACATTTCGTCTATTCCATTAAAGGTAAAATTAGCTTTGTTTAATATATAATTAAAGCTTGCTTGTAGCACATACTCAGTAATATATAATTAGTAAATATTAATTAATACCCACGTACATTTCGACGAGAGTAATTTCACCGTAAGTCAAACTGTTACATTCCGCACCTTAAAATTATAAAGCTAGTACTACTACCCATTTTAACCTTGTGTAGCGAGCTGCTATAATAATTGCCATCTTGAGTGTAATTTAGTTTAGCAAGCAAGCTGCTTCAATACAACTATTTTTTTTACACAAAGTACAGTTGCCGACGAATGTATTCCATTTCCAGACATTTTTATGTAGAAAAATTAGTAAGCGAGTAGCGACCGGTTCAACTTATGTTAGCTGATCATCACCGCCTACAGACATCTACAACACTTAACGGATTGCAGATACGTTGACGAAAAACCATTATAAGATGGGCATTATATTCCATGATAAATATGAGCACTTGAACACGAAGTCTTTAAAGCACTTTGCTGCACATGTAAGCTGGAAAAAATAAAAGTAATAGAAAAAAGAACATATGTAAGACATCCCTAACGGTTTGTATTAGTAGCGTAGTGTTTGTTTTCGATTACGCATTGGCACAATTCCATTTTGACCATGACCAACTTGTAGCATAATTTTAGCTAAAGACGCGTTTTGTCTAACACGTTCAAAGTCCGTTGTTGTAAACGCTGTATTGACTCTTAAAAACAACTCGTAAATAAACATTTTACGTATGATTCTCTTGATCATATCTACAAGGTTTTATTTAAAACATATGATAACTGTTGTTTCGTTTTTTATATACATTTTTCTTTAACTAAGAACATTCCTAAAATGTCGCTATTTTTAATATGACACATATAATTCCATAATAGCTCAGTGTCCGGGCGCTCGCCTTTAGTTCAATATAGTCCAGCAAGCTGAGTTCGATCCCAGGTGCCAGCAGCAACGAAATTGTTAATTTCGTGGTGCTGACCATCGCGAGGAAACCTGCATATTTTCGAAATAGTAAAAAAAATTTCGAAAAATATGTGAAGTCTGCCAATCTGCAGTGGAGTCGCGTGGTGGACTATGCCCTGATACCCTCTTTCCATAGGAGGCCTTTGCCTAGCCATGGGACTTGTATAGGCTGTTACTTTACTTTACTTTACTTTTACATATAATTCAGAGTATTAACGACACATAATACTAGTTGTTAACCGCGGCTAGAGGGAATTAACAATGTTTTTTTTTTTATTTTACACCAGAATATCTCGCAGATGGCTGAATTTTTCCCTACTTAGTTGACACTTGTCATTACCTATATTTCGAACAGTTAACACTAAATCTTTATAAATTATAACCTATGTGTTATTCTGATATATAATCTATATTATTGTAAAGTTTCATTAAAATCCATTCAGTAGTGTTTGCGTGACAAACTTTCGCATTTTTTCATTTATAATATTAGTAAGGAAGTAAGGATTTATTTTGTACTTACAACTTCTCATGGAAATAAACATTATAAACGTTATGTAATAATATTTTAATGAAACATAAGCAGACTGTGTTCATTACACCGCCATCACTTAAACTTGCGACACACGTCGCAGTGTAGAGAATTTGTGCGCCCCAATAAAGCCTTTTAAAGTTCATCTCACAGTTTCGACCTTGCTGCGTATAATTGTAAAATACAAAGCTATTTCACGGTCGGTTACCCGAAATCAGATAAGCCGTTGCCTGTCCTCAACGAAGTCAAGTGTTGTAGGGCCACCGGGCTGGCTACAGTTGTAACTAACTAGCTGAGGATCCGCTGTATGCAACAGTCTAAACGCTTTTCTTTTTGTAACCTGACTAACTGAAGTTGTTATAAATATGCCTCTGATGCATTGAGGCTGTTTTCGCACCAAACTGGCTACAGCTGAAACTTCTATGTTATCTCTTGTTGTTACCTGACGGGGGTCGTAGCACCCGAGCCCGAGCCAGCGCGGGAGGGCGAGGCGAGTTCAGCGCTCGGCGGAGTCGCGTGGGACACCAGCCATGCGTCCACCACCTGCCGCGTCGCCTTTCTGTAAAAAAAAACGTCGCATAAATGTCTTTTTTTTATTAGAAAAAGTGGCAAACGAGCTGGCGGTTCACCTGATGTTAAGTAATAACCGCCGCCATAAAACATTTAATTTCCATACCAATAGTAACAATGTGTTTGTCCTTCGTTAAATTTATAAATGTACTATGAATAAATATAAATTTATAGTTGGAAATAATAATATAATATATAAATTGGAAGGTTGAAGAAGATCATAGGCTACTTTTTTCAGTCGTACAACATCTCGAAATTCCCATGATTTGACAAAATATTAAATCTAACTACCTAAAAAAACCATGCTTCAATTCAGGTGGATTAGAGAATGGTTTATATTCACAAACGTATATTCACTTTAAATATCTCCATATAAACATAATCTTTTTTCTTAATTTATTTTAGTGTCAGTCTGTGATTTGAAAATAAATACCACATTTCACAAGAAAATTGTCATAGAAAATGAATTCATTTATAATTATTTAATTTTTTTTAATATTTTACAGGGTTCCAAATATATTTTTTGTTTATAATTTATTTTGTATAATTTACTCGTTTCAATAATTCCTAAGCACACAAATATCGATCATCTGTATACTGGAATGTCTTAAAAGAATTTTTCATATGACGCAAGTTCGACATGCCTGAAAATATTATTTTTTGCTAAATCGCTTCTGAAGTTGATATAAAATATCATTTTCCAGGCATACTTGCTTGAAGCAATTTTTTATAAAAACAAAGGGAGGAATTGCCTTATTAACAAATAGCTCACATAATTTGATGTTCGTAAAATAAATAATGGTAACGATCGATATGGCTTTAGGGTAATGAAAATTTATCATGAAGCGTATCCTCCTAATATGAACCTATACTAAAGTATTTTAGTTAGTTATAAGATCAAAAAAATACACTAAAATCATTACAATAAAACAGCAGATAATTATTCAAACAGTTCATGTATAGAGAATTAGTTAAGTTTTAGGTTGTTTAATAAAACGTACGGTACGGTGATAAAATGCATTTCATGGGGCAAAATGAAATATGTTAATGTTGACTATAAAACGACTTCTTGGTCCAGACGCCTTTCCATTATTCACCCGACTTAAGACCATAATAAAAAGCCGTCACCCAGTCAGAGATGAACATCGTAAAGTTCCATAACACGACTGCACATGCAGCGTGCAAACCCTCACAATAAATTTTATAGCAAATATTTATCACCAGCGCTGCACATAGAACCGTGAGCGCGCAGGTAATTGGTCATAAATGCCATTTTATTATTTACTCGTAAAAAAGTGGGAGTTTTGGTTTACGTGAACTAGAATTATAGAAGGTAAGCTAACTGCAACTCACGGAGAATTATATTTTAAGGTGTAGGTCACACGTAACCGTATTTTATTTTACTATAAGCGACCCGCCCCGGCTTCGCACGAGTACGAAGACGCACGCAATGTATTATGCAATGTACATATAAATCTTCCTCTTGAATCACTGTATCTGTTAAAAAAAAACCGCAACAATATCCGTTGCGTAGTTTTAAAGGTCTAAGCATACAGAGGTACAAATAGACAGCGGGACGACTTCGTTTTATAAGTATGTAGTGTTAATTTGTAGAAAAATGGATGACAAATTTTTCGCGGCTGCGGCCGCGCCTTCCGGAATCGCGCCCAGTCTTAACATCTCAGCCATCATCATAGCCGTTTCAAAGCACATTTTGGATATCATTAAAGAGACTTGTTTTGTTTTTCAGACTTGTTATGTATTCATAAATTAGTGTCAAATTGGAAATTTCTGTGCAAGCCACTGGATCGGAATCGTATATAAAAAGTGATTTGGTTTCAGCGAACAATACTAAATCATTTTATGCATTTGAAAAGAACATGTTGAATTTAAATCCAAATAACGTCTGTTCAAAAGCACCATTTAAAAACTATAGTGAGGGGCGGTCATCAGTGAAGTAAAAATTCAGATTTTTTTACTTTATTCTTTCTTATAATATACGAACCATATAAAGGAATCCAAATCTCACTCCGAGACCGGGTGAAATTTAGGAACAAATTGAATTTATATGCAAAACCGGCGCCTTGTACACTACGCTTTGCCAAATTAACCGACGTTTCAAACATTTTACTACCACGCTCGGTACAGTAGCATGCACTCGGTAAAATAGTTCCACAATAAACCAGTACATTTCGCTTTATTCCGAGAACGGGCGGTTTTTACCGCGAGTAAACGCGTAAGTTTATCAAACGCTTTACGAGATTGTGTCTTTATGTTCGCTGTTAAATTCCCAGCGCGTCGAGGCTTCCTTATTGTGTGCGTGTTTGTATTTACGTAGGAAGCGCTCGACAATTGCGTAGATTAGATGATTGCTGCGAAATTCGCAATCGTGCGTTAACATAAAATATATTACTCCAACCGGAGTCAAAACGTAGCATGCTCAACGATATTATTTTATTAAAATATGTAGATATTAATTTATGTCATAATCTTCTTATAAAAGTAATTCTGTTACAACACGAACATAAATTTCGTAACAAATACAAAGTAGCAATTTAGAGAAAAATGTAGTTTAGATAATAAGATATTAGATTCTTTAAAAAATTCTAAATTGAGATTTTAACGTAAATTATAGTAATGAACTTTAAATATTTTACTTAAAAACAACATGTAAACAATAACTACGTAAGAATCAGAAAATGATGTTTCATTGGAAATTATAACTATTATTTATCCAAGAACAAGCGGATGAAAATGGGACGGGGCACTTTAAATGTCCGCGAATCATTTTAAGCCACAAAGGTAATGCAGCCGAACCAATAAGATAAAGATTACGTTAGCCGTCGTACAGCGAAAAAGTAAAACCAAACCGGCAAATCAAGTTTGACAGAGTTGGGGTCTAACGAGTGCCAAGTTGCATGCTCGCTACGTAGGAGGCGTTTAGGGACTTAGCTCTAAGGATACAGGACGGAAAGCTCCCAAAACATTACAAGCCACTGAGTATCTATTGGTATTTTTGCCGATACACTGGGATCTCTCTGCAGAGCGGTGTTGTGTTCCTTTACACTGACAAATAAATAGCAGTGACAAGTCAAGAACAAATCCGTATAAAAATAACGCCAGCTAGTGTTGTGGCTTCACTCGTGTGGGGGAGTTTACTTGGGTCCTCAGTTACATTAGAGTAATGAAGATTACTGTTTTGTAACTGAGATCCAACATTCCAGAACAAAAGAAAAAACTACCAAACAGTGTAGAACGTCCTTAATGGAAATCTACATATTAATATGTGATGCTAAAGCTGTAACCCTTTTTATGATAATTGCGCCGACGGAGGATTATGAAATTTCTTAATTAAATCTTAAAAAAATTAATGCATACATTTTTTTTAATTATGCATATTTAAAATAGATTAAATCAATAAAAAAACATTAAACACACTACCATGTATAATTAGGCGACCACTTGTATAACCTCATGACTATAGATAACGATTATTTAATAAAGCAAGAAATATAGTAAATTTTTGACTTTAAAATATAATAATCATGTGTATATTTTGGATACGGTTCATCTTAAACAAAATTCAGTAAAATTCTAGGAAAAAGTCTTAAACTTGTGTTTAATAAACATAGACGAATAAAAATTACTTCCAGTTTTATTGCGCTATAAAATGTTAAATACTGCCCGACACCCTTCGCATTTTCACGTTTTGAGTTAACCCGTTCGCGCTGTTGAGATGTAAACCATGAGCAACTTTTTACTATACCTAGGACATTTATAAAGTTTTGAGAAACGAAAATACTAACTTATATGGATACTTTTTTTATTAATTGTTTTCATAAAACTCCACACCAGCCTCTATACAAAGTTTCATGCGTCTGAACTAATTTTCGAAACACTTTATCCAGTACGCCGCAAACACCAGTTATACGGCCTTCTCAAACGTTGTTAGCGCGTCTTCCTGCGATCAAAGTTGTGTCCTGTCAGTTGATGTTTTATTTTAGGGAACAAAAAGAAAAATAATAAAAAGGAGTCACACGGTGCCATATCTGGAATGGTGAAGCAGTAACACGCGGAGTTCCGTCGCTTGATGGATTAATGAATGAATGATGCTTAATGCATAAAAAAATTTTAGCAAGCATTTTATAGTACACACATACAATACATGAACAAAGCATATTAGTCACATAAATACAAAAGGCAGTTCCTAACATTCTTACTACAAATATATTGAGACGAATCAGTGAATACAAACATTAAATATAATAGTACCCGGAGGATCGAGCTTTGCTCGGTTTTTTTTGGTATATCATGTATTTTAAAAATAAAGAAAATGAAATGGTATAGAAAAAAAGTTAAAAAGAGAGAGAGATTATATATATATATATATATACACACAAGATTGCTCGTTTAAAGGATAAGATAATTTTAAATGTGAAATGCTTTGTGGTATCAAAATAAGAATCGATAAACGAGATAGGTTTCATAGACAAACTATAATAGTGCAATAAAAGCTTAGTCTTCATAATTATTATTCATATATAAACATAAAATTGGTAAGAAGTGAGTACTGATTAGTTAGGTTAGTGCAGCTTCCTTTGCTTAAGGTTTATATTGACAGTATGACATAATTAGTGCTCATTCATAATACCGTCATCGTACCAAACGAATATTTGCAAATGAGATGAGTGGTGAGTCGTGATAATGTTTCATGCAACGGACGTTATATGGTCGTCCGCAATACGATTAATTTACATTCCCTCTCGAACAATTACTTGTTTCAGTGAATGTGTCAATATGATATAAAACTGATCAATCAGTACGCTTGCTTAAATAATGGAGATCATTCAAACTCGGAAGAATAATTGTTTATTGAAATAAAACCAATTCTTTTTTTCAGAAAAATTTGCCATTCCGTTCCTTGGAAAATAGAACTTTCGTTAAGAATGCGGTAGTCATCCATAAATGCGTCTTATACTTTTGAAACGA